CCCCCCCCCCCCCCCCCCCCGCCTAATGGACATCTAGGCGACGCCAAATCGCCTAGGTGACTAGAAGGTACTCTGGCGCCCGGCCTCGCCTAATTGCCTTAACAACTATGCTATTAGGAGACATTCGCTGTTTCTTCTTTTTATTTCCTATCGTTTTATACTGTTTGTGCGATTAGTTTATCAGTTCAATGTGAAGTATACTAAATGTGATTTTATTATTTGAAATGTATTATTGGATCTACTAGGTGGCTTCTTATTTACTGTGTTTACACTGTTCCTTGTTTTGTCATGATAGTGCCATAATTGTTTTGCTTTTTTAGTATATTCACGTGTAAATAACATCTCTTTGCAGATGCTTTTATTTGGTTCCTTTAGTGAGGATGAAACCAAATCTTTGTTGACGCAGTCGCCTGGAAGTTCTAAAACAAAGTTTTCTGATAAGGAAGTGTCACATGACGATTCATCAAAACTTGCCTCTGAATCATCTTTTGGGAGTTTCAGCTACATACCCATAACACAACCTGATTCCTCAGAAAGACTAGATTCTTGCGTCACTCACTTGGGAGAGAGAGGCAGTGATGTTAAGGCAGAAATGGATACTGTTTCAGGTGTTGTTCAAAATAATGGAGAAATTCCCATCACTAATGGGGATGAAGAATCTCAGGTTGTTGAGATGATTGACACCAGTTTGTGTATTTCTGAAAACAAAAATAAAGCCAGTACTCAGGTCCATGAAGCAAAAAATAGTGACATGACCTTAAATGGAGAAAATTCAAATGGGATAATTACTGATTCGGCAACAACATCAAATCCTATGGATTTTGATGCCGCCCTGTATATTGGTGACTTGCTACCTCGAGGCTTGATCAACTCAGGGAATTTATGTTTCCTTAATGCTACATTGCAAGCTCTTTTATCCTGCACTCCATTTGTAGAGAATATGCAAAGGCTAAGGGCTCATAGTATTTCCAAGGTATGCTTTTAAATCTTTGTTCTCATGAACTAAGCATAGGCAGAAGAGTAATTCCTACCTTTACTATATGTCTAGGTTGATTACCCAACAATAGCTGCATTTTCTGGATTTATTGCCAACTTTGCAATTCCAAGCTCATCGATTGCTATAAAGAAAGATGTGTCTAGCATTGAAATTGGCAAGCCATTTTGTCCCACAATGTTTGAAATGGTTCTGAGGAATTTTACCCCTGATGTGCCAGCTACTTTCTCAGGAAGGCCAAGGTGTGTGTTTCTCAATCTCTCAATATTATCTTTCAACTTTTCCAAATGTATGAATATCCTAAAGGAAAAATAGACTTTTGTTGTCTATTGCTCCCCCTCTGTATCCAAGGTGGTTGTTATACTCGGGATCGTAGGTAGGCCCATGGGGGGGGGGGCTGAGGATCCTAACTCAAATTGAAAGACCCTAGAGTTGTAGTAATGTACCTTATGTACGTAATTGAAAAAATAAAAAGCCATAAATCATCATCATAACACCCAAATAAATAGAAAAATAGTCATAAAGCCATAAAGTCATATCATCCAAATAAAAACAAGTTCAAAAGTTCAAAATAAAAGTTCAAGACATTGAGAATAACAATGAGTCATCATCAAGCATAAATTTTGGTATTGAAGTCATCTTCATATAGGCATTTTTACCACCGACCTGGATATGATTATATGAACCTCCAATGTGATGCATCGCCAATTCCACCACTAGTTTCCCCAACCTTGAAGTATGCCTTCACCCAGAATATCCAAGCGCGAGCATTGATCAATTTCTTCTACAATCCATTCATCATCACAATCAAGGTCATCAATGTTATAATCTTTTCCAAACCTCTTTCACATGTTCTCGCTAATTTTGAATTAGCCATCACAAATCATTCACGGTCTTTTTGCCTTAAGTGATTCCTTCTTTTGGTATGGACCATCTTAAATGCACTTGCTCGCAAGTTGATGAACTACATGTCAGACTTAATACTTGAATGACAACCTTTTTGTAATTCTTGATCTTCATCTCCATATTGTCCTTTTTATCTTCCACCAACCTCTGTAAACAATCATATTGTAACTTCCAAATCAGCTTTAAAGTTGGGACTTTAATGCATGATGGGATTAAGATGATATCTTGCAGCATACGAAGGCCTACCAATAATCAAATGCTCAAACAGCCTTTCCATCTCTAGTCGTAGCAGATTGACTAGATTTCCATTGATTAGATGTGACTAGTTGTACAAGGGAACCCTTGTTATCATTCAAACTGTTGGACCAATCTTGACATTCAGTAATAGTTAGGGGGTTTATTTTGTAATTATGTTGAAGTCTTTATTTGTTAATAATTAGGGTAGAGTCAGTCATAATTTTAGGAGATATATCTCAGATGGATTTGAGATTATCATAGCTTGTAGGAGTAGGAGATGTTATGCTTGGAGAGCAAGGCTGATGATTTAACTTGGTGGACAAGGTTAACTCATCTATAAATAGGGATAGTTTCTCTGTATTTTATGCATTAAAAGTTTTTCAATTAATTGGAGAAGGATTTCCAATAAGTTCTTGTTCTAGATTT